ATAAATTCATAAATGAATAGATAGATATTTATGAACAGATAGATTCAGATATATAGAATATTATGAATGAGATAGATAGATAGATAGATATATTTACAGAATGATAGATAGATAGATAGATAGATATATAATAGATAGATAGATGAGATAGATAGATATGAATAGATGAATAGATAGATATATATTTAGATAGAGAGAAAATGAATAGACTAGATAGATAGATAGATAGATAGATATGAACAGGCTGAGATAGATAGATAGATAGATATATATTGAGACTGAGATAGATAGATAAATAATTTTTTGATATTTATTGAGATAGATAGATAGATAGATAGATAGATAGATAACAGATGAGATAGATAGATAGATAGATAGATAGATTTATAATAATAGAAAATATATAGATTGAAAGATAGACAGAGATATAGATAGATATAGATAGATATATTCAATAATTAATAAATAGGAATGAGATAGAAAGATAGATAGATAGAGACAGATATGAATATTGAATAATATAAAGATATATTTTGAATATAACAGAACTAGATAGATAGATAGATATATAGATAGATATAAATGAATAGATTTAATAAATAGATAAAATTGATGAGAGATAGATATGAAAGATAGATAGATATATAGACAAAAATAGATAAATACTGAGATAGATAGATAATAGATATTTTATAGGCTTTATAAATATTTCTGAGATAACAGGCTGATATAGATAGATAGATAGATAGATATTATGGATAGATAATGGCCAGAGAACAGATGAAATATATATATGAGATATATGGATGATTAGATAGATATGATAGATATGAATAGAAAGATAGATAGATAGATAAATATATATATAGATGATATTCAATAGATAGATGAGATAGATAATAGACATGAGATAGATAGATATGAATGATTTTGAGATAAAGATAGATAGATAGATGTTTTTGATAGATAATAGATAGATAGATAGATAGATAGATATGAAATATACAGAGATTAGATAGATAGATAGATGAACAGATGAGATAGATACATAGATATGATATGAATAGATGAATAGAGATAGATAGATAGACATGAATGAATGATATTTAGATAGAGATAAGATAGATATGATATATATTATGAATGGAAGATATATATATATATATATATGGATAATAGATAGATAGATAATGTTATATATGAATAGATAGATAGATAGACATAGAGATAGATATGATATTTTAGATATAATAGATATATGAATAGATAGATATGAATAGATAGATAGATAGATATGAATGAGATAGATATTAGATAGATATATAGATAATATAGAAATAGATAGATAGATGACAGATAATGAATGATATATTTATTATAGATAGATAAATAATGAGATAGATAGATAGATATAGATAGATAGATAGATAATGATCTATATGAATAGGCTGAGATAGATAGATAGATAGATAGATAGATAGATGAATAGATAGATAGATATAATGAACAGAATGAATAATAGATAGATAGATATATAATATATATCTATGATAGATGAGATAGATAGATAGATGAGAGACATAGATAGAGAATAGATAGATAGATAATAATTTAAAATAGATAGATAGATAGATAGATAGATAGATAGATAGATAGATAATAGATAGATAGAATTAATGTCATAGAAACATTAATAATGAGCTACAATTGGAAAATCAATCCAGAATATGACAGGAGATAACGATGCCATTGATATTTAAATATTTTGCAGATTAACCTTGGCTGGAAAAATGGAGTATTAGAGAGTCCCACAAGCAAAGAAAAATAGTTAAAATAAAATTTTTGATTACATCTCTCAACTCAACGGTAAATTTTTCAAATGACAGTTAGTATTCACTTAAATTTAAAAAAATCTCACCATTCTTAAATGATCATTTTGAACAATTAATAATAATGAAATATTTATAAAAATATCTAAAAAATATAAGTTAAATTTTATTTTTCTATGGGGTGAATGTGACTGAAGCCGAGCTGCCAGATCAGGATCAATAATATTGCTGATTCTTCTTTGATTTTATTAAATAATTATCAAGATATAGTAGCATATTCTGTGTTGTATATCCCACTTATGCTGGGAGGCCTTTCCAGCGACAAAAATACACATTTTTCTATAAAGATATTTTTAGAATCATAGATATCCTCATGCAAAGGAAAAAGCCACTAAGATACAAAGGGGTTATAGGGTGGGAAGAATTAGGAACAGAAACATTAATAATGAGCAAAAGAGAAAGAATAATCATTTGGACGGTAGATATATATTGATATTTGCATTTAAATTTTTTTGAATTAAATTTGACTGGAAAGCATGGATTGTCGGAAGGAAAACTGAAACGATAATAAAGGAAAGAAACTGTTTTTATAGAACTTATGGTTCAATATTACCAGCTCAACACAAAAAAATTGATGATCTCGATGCCAGTCTAGTACTGAGCTACAATTCATAAAGTCTGGTACTATAACAAAGAGTTCGTCCATCTAACAATTAGCATGAAAGTATTTATAGAAAAGGTAAAAGGGAAGATACATTATGGCGGATATGAAACTGAATATTAAAGCCAGGTCAGGACCAATAATATTGCTGATTCTTCTTTAGATGTAATCAATAATGTCTCAAGTAGCAGAGAAAATTGTTTAGTATATCCCACTCATGCTGGTAATAGTCTTGAATTTAGACAAAGCATCAATTAATAATAAAGTATTTTTTAAAAATATTGAATCACCCCATGTTACAGTAAAAAGCCACTAAGACACAAAATATATTTATTTAAAATAAGAATATTAGAACAGAAATAATGAATGGAAATAGAAAATAAATTAAGAAATCAGGAGGACAGTAGATAGGCGATTGGCATTGCATTTAATTTTTTCTCAATATTAAAGTCGGCTGGAAATCAAAGGAGCCGGAAGGGTGTTCAACAAGCGAAAAAAAAATGAATTGAAAAATAAAAAATATATTAGCAAAGAGTTTAATTTATATCTACGCAACGTAAATAAAATAAATTGGTACTTGTTTTAAATTCATAATATTTATTATATTGCTTTAAATAACTTTTTTTTTGTGTTTAATCATAAAACGTATTATTTGGGATTTTTTTTAATGATTTTTTTTTTTACTAGAAAACAAGAAACCAGAAGAGATTAAAGTTGGACTGAAAACAGAGCCGGATTGGTGTTCCACAAGAATGAATGCAAGAAAAAACAGTTAGATAGACAGATCAGAAAAATTCAGATATAGATAGATAGATTTGTTACAATATGTATCTTTCTCCATTAAGTCATAAATAAAAATTTTATAAGACAGCAGGGGTTATTTGGTGTGAAAGAATTAGGAACAGAAACATTACTTATGAGCAAGAAGAGAAAAGAGTAACCAGGAGGACATTTATTTTTTTTGGGATTTTTATTATATTTGGCTGGAAAACGTGGAACCGGAACGGATTTCTACAAGCGGCAATTGCGAAAAAAGAAATAGACAGATGTATAGATATATAGATATATAGATAATTTTTTCATTCGGTATCATCAAGGCATTAAAGCCACTAAGATAGAAGGGTTATTTATTTTTTGTAAATTTTTTTCAGAAACATTAACAATGAGCATTAAGAGAAAAGATTGTAATCAGGAGGACAGTAGATAGCGATTGACATTGCATTTAAATTTTGCAGATTAAATTTGGCTATAAAGATTGGAATTTTCTCTAACAAAGAGAGAATTGCGAGAGAAATAAAAACAAAAGCATAGAAATTAGAGCTTACATTTATTCAACGTTTCTGTAAATTCTATATCTATAATTCTCAAAATGTGTATGTATGTATGTATGTATGTGTGATCGGGTGTTGTTTATGTATTTCCACAGTTTTCATCCCATTTTGATGTAACTTTTTTGTTTGATAGATAATTCTTCAGTGACGGTTTTGAGTCTAAATTGTTGACGACAATGGCTCTCCACTACTTCCTCTCCATTATAACTCTCAACAACGTTTTTCTATTTACGATCTGTTCTTGGATGTGTATCTTTCATAAAAAAAACTTTTATAAAAATAAATAGTTTAAATTATTAAAATAATAGTTTTTGTTATTATACAGTTTGTTTTTCAGGGCCACTCCCCCCCTTTCAAATTGTTTACTCCCCCAATTCGAAGATGTAAACTATTGCATTTGACTGTTGTTACTAATAGTTGATTTTTGAAAAATTGACTTTAAACTTAAACTGCTCCAATTGAACATAAAAATACCCAGTAATGAAAGACCCTACTTATCTGATGATCACAAAGTTTGTGAAAAAAATAAGGGATGTAATCTAATATCCATACAATATGAATCTATCTATCTATCTATCTATCTATAAATATATTTTCTATATATAAAATATAAAATATCTATATATATATATAAATATAATTCATAAATAAATAACTGAAATATAAATATATATATATATATATATATATATATAAATATATAATATATATATATATAAATATATATATAAATATATATATATAAATATATTTATATATATATATATATATATATATATATATATATATATAAATATATATAAAATATATATATAAATATATATAATATATATATATATATATATATAAATATATATATATATAAATATATATATATATATATATATATATATATATATTCTAATAGTATCTATGTTTTAATTTGTAATTATTTACAATTCTTAACATTAAATTATGATCGTTTCGATAAGTTTCAATTTAGCAGCTGAACTCAAAAATAAGTTAGTTAAATATTTTGTTAACCAAACACCAAAGAAAATCAAGCTTATTAATTAACGTCTCCAAAAATGAAACTGCTGTCTTTATTAATCACCTATTTTGCTTTATACAATAAACTACAGGAGCTGACTTATTGCGACTTCTAAGTTTAACGTTTTCCGTTAAGCATGAAGGAAAATTACATTGAATCTATCTATTTTCTCATAAAAATTTTTCTTAATTATTTATAAGTCTACCCCTATTTATGTATATATAATACATATTTTAAATATAACTAATAAGGATTACAAACCAAAATTTCTACCAGTTACATATACACAGTCATCAAAAACAAGCAAATAACCAGTTTTAAAATAATAAAAAAATAAACTTTTTTTTAAAATTAAAAATAAAAATAATATTAATTTTTACCTATCATAATTTTACACAGACCCCACCACACGTATATACGTGCATGCGAGGAAATATTATTCAGCGAAAAAATAGAAAAATGCTCTGATTGCTGACATGTATACATTCACGAGACATTCACGAGAAATTTTCGCTACACTTCCAATCTTTGAATTTCAACACACAATTGCGTATGTATAGACACAACACCACCCATATACATGCATATGTCAAATCTCATACTGTCCACATATGTTTATATCTGTATGAGTCCCGGCGGACAAGCAAGTGTTTATGTGTGTCTGCGTACCTCATCGTGTGTACGGACATGCATCTATGTTTGCGTTAGCACGATGACATCATGATGACGACCTCCCCACTCCCATAAAAACACCAATAGACGCTACATAAACCCAAATTTAAAAAAAAATTAATCAGTTTGCCTGACGATCGTAAAAAAAGTGTGAAACCCAGGGTCACAAACTCACATCAATCCAACCAAATATGTATATATTTATATGTTTTCTGTGTATACGTTATTTTATAGATACAATTTAATTAAGTAAATACTCTGTTTTTAATTAAGCAGTATTAATTACATTTTAAAAGCAAAATGATCAACAATATATTTTATCTGTAGTTGAAGCCATGAAATTGTGTACAAGATAATTGGATTTCGACATAAAATACCCCATAGAGATGTTGATATATTGTTAAACCCAAACGACCGACGAACAAAATCAAGACGCTGGAAAATTCGTTAGCTTATTCTAGCTTTCCAGAAAGTACCTGGCTCCTGTCGTTCTCTATATTTATATAACCCAGATTAGACCAAAAATAGAGTGTTGAGGTCATATCTGGGCTGGAGCTGCACAATCTTCTTTTCCAGAAAGTACGTTATTTCAATGGAGAATGTTCGGACTGACCCAATTTGTTCAGTTCCATCAGTTCAGGGCTTTACAGCTAAGACGCGTCATACTACGACCACAGAGTCGAACCACCATCATTTCCTCCGTATTTTGAATGGAAGGAGAAAACTCCAATCAGGTATCTCTTTTCCCAAGAGATATTGCTTTCTAGAACAGTCTTACGTGTAGGTGCTTCGCTGAACGCAACAACCCTAAACAAGTCAAGGGTCAGTCTATATCTACCATTCTTATCCTAATAATCTTTACATACGGCCACGTCTCCCTATATTCATATCACAAATCACATAGATCAGAAACATTTTCACAGTAATACTCTTTTTGTTTAAAGGTCTCACTTTACTTTTTTTTTTGCATAATACGACTCCGAGTTTATGAAGTGAAAAAGAGGAAATAAATTAAATATTTGAGTATAATACGCTCTCGTGTTTCTGTCGCTTATAACAGGGAATAAAATACATCATTGAATATAGTACGGCCCTGTTTTTCTGAATCTAAAAACAGGGGAATAGATTACATTCTTGGGTATAATAAGACCCCTTGTTTCGGAAGCTAAAAACGGGGAATATATTACAACCTTGAGTATAAGACCCCGTGTTTCTAAAGCTAAAAACGGGGAATAGACTACATCATTGAGTATAAGACCCCGTGTTTCTGAAGCTAAAAAATTAATAGACTTTAACATTGAGTATAAGACCCCGTGTTTCTGAAATCTAAAAAAAAATTTTAGATTACATCCCTGAGTATAAGACCCCGTGTTTCTGAAGCTAAAAAATAAGGAATAGATTACATCCTTTTATATAATTTGACCCCATATATTTATTTGTTTTGTCGGAATAAATTTTTATCCTTGAATAAAAAATACAATTTGATAAGTTTTTGTTGATTGAATATAATACCATTCTGCCAAGAAGCTTAAAAAGGAAAGAATAAATTAAACAGTTTTAAAAAAAAACGAACCCGAGTCTCTGAAGTTAAAAAAGAAATAAATTACATACTTGAGTATAATACTACCCAATGATTCTGATGGTAAAAACAAGGAAGAGATTACATCATTGAGTATAATAAAATTCGTTTATAGGAAGGTAATAAGTAAAGAATTATATACGGGTGTATAAGACGATCCTGTGATTCTGAAGCCAAAAGCAAGAAATAAATTACACTTTGGATAAGTTGTAACCTATTATCGATTATAATCTCATTATCTAACAAATATTTCACTAAAACATTTTCTTTTCTACAATTTTAAAGGAGGGGCATGAACCGGATGTTTAGCCATTACGTGTTTCTTCTCGAAATTTCCATTTCAGAACTTATTTTTGAAGTTTTGGTTAAAGGTGTTAATTAGATATACCTGGCAATACATTTTAAGGTGTTAATTAATGTAACATTATTCTCTTTGATATGCCTTCAATATATTTCTATAAAAGAATAAAGTATGAAAAGAATAAAAAAAATATTGTCTGGGAAAATAGCAAGAAATAAAGAAACAAACAAAATATTAGGAAGAAAAAAGAAAGAAAGAAAAAAGTAAGAAATAAGGGAAAGTGGGAATATATAAAGAAAGAAAGAAGAAAAAGAAAGAAAGAATGTAAAGTCTAGGCAAATAGAAAGAAAGAAAGAAAGAAAGAAAGTAAAAGAAAGTAAGAGATAAAAAGAAAGAAAGACAGAAAGAAAGAAAGAAAGAAAGAAAGAACGAAAGAAAGGAAGAAATAAAAAAAATTTTAGGTAAATAGAAAAAAGAAAGAAAGAAAATAAAGTCTAGGCAAATAAGAAAAGAAAGAAAGAAAGAAAGAAAGAAAGAAAGAAAGAATTAAAAGAAAGGTAAATAGAAGAAAGAAAAAAAAAGAAAAAAATGTAAAAAAGAAAGGTAAATAGAAAGAAAGAAAGAAAAAAGAAAGAAAGAAAAGAAAAAAAAAATAAAAAAATAGTCTGAAAAAGAAAGAAAAAAAAAAAGAAAAGAAAAGAAAGAAAAAAGAAAAGAAAATCTAAGTCAATAGAAAGAAAAAAAGAAAGAAGAAAACAAAAAAAGAAATAGAAATAAATATAAAAGAAAAAGAAAGAAAGAAAAGAAAAAAGAAAAAAAAAGAAAAGAAAGAAAGAAAAGAAAAAAGAAAGAAAAAAGAAATAATGTAAAGAAAGGTAAATAGAAAGAAAGAAAAGAAAGTAAAAATAAAAAAGAAAGAAAAAAGAAAAGAAAAACTAGAAATAAATAAAATAAATTAGAAAAAAATACTGGGAAAATAGAAATAAATAAAGAAACAAACAATCAAAAGATTATAAAGAAAAAAGAAAGAAAGAGAAAGTAAAAAGAAAGAAAGAAAAATATTTACATAACCCAGATTAGACCAAAAATAGAGTGTTCAGGTCATATCTGGGCTGGAGCTGCACAATCTTCCTTTTCCAGAATGTATTTTTTGTCTATCGTTCTCTATATTTATATGAAAGGATTAAACCAAAAAACAGAGTATCTTGTTCATCTGGACTGCAAAAAGCAAATCTTCTTTTCCAGAAAAACCTGGCTCCTTTGTTCTCTATATTTATATAACCCAGATTAGACCAAATTCTTTCTGGAAAAGAAAGAAAAAAAAATGAATGAAAATAATTACAAACAGAAAAACAAAAAAATCAAAAATAGCTTACTATTTCGTCGCAGTCTCTTCATCCTAAAATTAACCAGTTTTATTTTCAATCCTAAGAATTGGTCATTTCCCAAACTTCAAAATCCTTATGTTTCTATTTATAATCTTTATCATCATCTATGCACGTTAAAATAATGCCTCAAATACTTACTCAAAATTTGAAGAAATCAAACAAAACATTCAGAAATATAATAAAAAATAATGTAGGTAAGAAATATCAAAATACTGGGAAAATAAGAAGAAATAGGAAAAAAATAAAATTAAAAAATTAAAATTCTCATTTGGAAAGGAATTAATGAATCGATGTTTTCCTAAAAGTTAATGGGAAAATAGATACAAATATTGAAACAAACAATTAAAAGATTACAAAATAGCAGATTTCTTCTTCTTAAAATAAATTTATTGAAAGGCATTGCATCCTAAAATTAACCAATTTTTATATAATTTTTTTAGTAAAATTTCTTAAAAAAGGGTTTGAATAAAATAATAACCGTCCTGAAATTTTTTTACTCAAGGTCCATTAAACGAGACACGATTTTTAAATTTCAAAGGGACGATTTTTTTAAAATCAGTAAAAATAATTTTCTTTTTTTAATTAATTTTTAACAGAAACTCAATAATTCTTTGTTCAAAAAATATTTTCATTTAATCAAATTATCTTTTTTTAAAAGACAAAAATCAAGATTCATCTGAATAAATGTTTTTTTTTTTTATTTTGAACAATATCTTGACAAAATAATTTATATAATTCTTTGAATTTCAAATGCCAGTGTGTCCTAAGTTTATTATATATATAATTATAATGCATAAATTGAAAATACAATAAAAACTCCTTTTAACGTTCATATTCTTCTTCTTTTATAATAAATGCAGAATTTCATCTGTGTTCTCCAGCATTCACTTTTACATAACAAGTGCAAGTCCTTTTCATTTTTTTTTTAAAACCTTTTACATTCTAACGTTCAATTTACCATCATTCTATTTATAATAAATTCTTTTAAAGAAAAATTCTCTTGCTTCATTTTCCTTTCATTTCAAAGGGAAACAACTGTCTAACGTTCATTTAACTTTGTTTCTTCATATATAATGCAAATGTAAAATAGGAGGATTTTTATAAATTTTTCAATTCTAAAAAAGATTCAAATCTCTAACGTTTTATTTAGATCATTTTCTTTTATAAAATAAATTTCGAAATTTCAGTTTTTTCAACGTTTGTCACTTTTTATTTTCCACATTCCTAGATATTTTCTAAATATATTACATATATCAACAATTTCTTTGTTTCTTTTGAAATTCTTAGCATCTTGAAATTAAAAAAATATAGGAGGGTTTACAAACCAAAATCCTTTCTCTTGAAATTTTTCTCCATCTGTTACAAAAATTCATTTTACAACGATTTTTTTTCAGCGATTTTTGTTTTTTTTTTTTTAACTTTTTTTTCTAATCCTGAAGTAAATTTGGAAATAATCGAAATTAATTATGAAAAAAGTAATTTTTGTTTCTCTTGCTTCCAAGTTCGTTAAAAAATCCAAAATAAAAATTTATTTTTTTTTAAACAGAAATTCTTTCTTTCTTCTTTGTTTAAGTCTCCTCTTCATCTGTGTAGTACAATCAAATTATCTTTAAATTAAAAGGAGGATTGTATTAAGAATTATCTTTCTTCTTGTAAAAGGTAACCTCCAAATTTTAAATATTTAGAAGGATTGATATTAACATTTAAATCAAACACTTTTTTTTTTTGTTTCTCTTTTTTTGAACTTATCTGTGTTTCTAAGGATTTTAAAATTCATTCACTGCTTATACTTTTATATTACTACCTATTGTGTTTCTTTTTCAGAGAAGTCTCCTATTTTTTTGGTTTCCCAACATTCACATCCACAGTATTGCTATTCTTTCATTGTCTCTTGCTGATCTCCTTTCATCTTTTTGTGATTATATATATATATATATATTTTTTATATATATATATATATATATATATATAGATATAACTATACACTGCCAAAGGTCTTTTTAACGAAAACTTCAGATGATACGCTTTGCTAATATATTTGAATCTTTTTTATTCATGCCATATAGAAGGATTGATCTTTTGATTGTTCAGAGTTTCTCTTCATCTCTTTTTCATCTGAATTTTAAATTTTTCATTCACTGCCATATAGGAGGATTGATATTACATAGCAGTTCATCAAAATTTTCTTTTAGTTTCTCTTGCTTCAATTCTCTTCTTCATCTGAGAGGAAATTGTCCAGCATTCACTGCCATATTGGAGGATTGATATTACATAACAGTTCAGCATTTTTTTTTGTTTCTTTGCTACAAGGTTCTAAATCTGAATAAATCTCTGTTTCTTTATACTTTAAATTCAACATTTTTTTACCTTGGTTCATCAATTCCTCTGTTTCAAAATTTGTAACTTTTTCAGAGGCATTTCCTATCCAAAAATGTGCATTCAGGATTTGTGTCGTATATGCTTCCCAAATATCCAAATTCTTGCACCTGTTTGATTTCCAGTCTGTAATTTGTGATTTTGACTAATGGCAAATCCTACAGTACGTAATATGATTTGAAGATCTCAAAAAACTCAAAATATAAGGATCTTGAAGTGGAAATCTAAAAGAAAAAAATGTGGCGCATGAGGACATAAATAACTGTTCTTGTGATTGGGAAGCTGAGTTTCATTGGAAACGTTTTTTTTTTTTTGTAGAAGTGGCCGGAAGCAGCCCCTGCCTTTAAGAAATACAAAAGATTTTTTTCACAAGTATGGCACACACTCTAAGAAGGTCTTTATCTGTGTAAAATGTGTCTGCTCTTAGGTTTTTAAGTTCATGGTATTTTTTCACAGCACATTTAAAGTTTTAAACTCATGTGCAGTGGAAAAGGATGCCTCTAGGTCTCTGATGGGATCCGGATCGATCGATCGATAGATAGATAGATAATGACCTGACTGGAACAAATAGTGTTATGGAACCTACCTTTATGGACTAAATGGACTCGTCCTATTACTATATTATGCCTCTCAAGAGAGCAGTCTACAGTGGACGAGTTGACTACTGTTGACTACGTGTACGACTGCTGTCGAACTCTCTACTTTGGCAGAGAGGAACCCGGACGATGCTTTGCCGAAGGGCAAAGTTTCGTCCGGGGAGGTAGACAGGCCCTGAACCCGTCTAGGCGGGTTCAAAGGGTATATTTTTTTGGCCGAGCTTACGGGCTCGGAGAAACCCACATTAAACTCGGCCTTGTGCCACATTCAATCCTCGTGGGGGATCGTTAAATATTGTTGACGAGTTGTACTTTGCCGTCAGTCGGACGTGCAACGCTTTTGTATTCGTTCTTTTTGCTAATAATATGTTTTCACTAAATTGCTGAGTTTGAGTTTTATTTCGGACCTATTCTGGGTCCACTACAGATAGATAGATAGATAGATAGAGATTTACTTTTACGGCGTATCAAACTTTTGCAGGCTAGTTAAAAACAGACAATATTTTTAGATTGCAATAATTTTTTTGAAATAATAATTAGTTACTGATACAACTCCTACTAATTAACCCATAGCTGAGGGAGAAAAGGTCTATTCATAGCTTTCTTTTGTAATGTTGTCCTGGGTGGTTAATTGAAAGTAATAACTAGAACGGTAACTTACAAGAGAAATACAAGTAGATATTTACAAATCGTCTGAAGCTGAAAAGCAAATCCCCCACTCCTGAGACCAACCCCATAGATGCTTATATTCCTACTAGAAGAGTCCATTTAATAGAGGGGTATCAGTTCTTTGTATACTGAGAGTTATCAGTTCGTTCCCTACAATACTTTCCCAAGCGTATTTGCGCGCAAGTGAATATAAAGAACTTGACGTTAATTGGAACTCGGCTCTCCGCTTTTCAATTCTGAGTCGTTATCCATTACACCACCCGCACATCCAAGCTTACAGAGGCAGGTATTCTTAAGAGGTTACTCATCTGAGCAGGCGGGACCTGGTTAACCTCAGTGATCGGTGTCTGTAAGCCATTGGGATCCGGAAAGAAAGGAGTATGCAACAGAAATGAAAGGAGATAATAATAATAATAATAATAATAATAATAATAATAATAATAATAATAATAATAAAAAAACAATCAAGGCCAACCGCCCGGATATTGTTATTAAAGACCACAAACAAAAACAGTGCCACCTTATTGATATGGCAGTCCCTGCTGACTGCAATTTATCTTTAGATATTCAAAAAGTTGTCAAAATACAAGGACCTTGAAATAGAAATCTCGAAAATGTGGCATATGGGAACATCAACAATCCCTGTTGTAGTTGGAGCCCTAGGACTGGTTGGAAAAGATTGCAGTCGACTAATTGAAGGGATTCCTGGAAGTCCATGCCTCAAGGAGATACAAAAAAATGTTCTGATAAGTACAGCCCACACTTTACGAAGGGCTTTATCTATGTAATTGTTTTTTTTTTGTCAGTGGAAAGTGTCATGATGCCATTTCTAACCTAAGATCCCTAAGCGGGACACGAAAAGAAATGTGTAAACGCCAGAAATCGAAGAAAATAAAAATAAAAAAAATAATAATAATGAACAAGCTGATGTACTCAAACCCCGTACCCATCAGTGGTTACGTAGAGCAGGTTTAGAGCACTTCGAGGTGGTGTAATGGTTAACAAGCTTGTCTCGCTAGATTAATTACGACTGAGTAGAGAGTTCGATCCTCACTGGGTGCCCATACTTTCGGCCTTAAATTACATCTAAGCTACGCTTGGAAAAATCACTATAAACAAAAATTTTTTTCGAGGCGGTGTAATGGTTAACAAGCTTGTCTCGCTAGATCAATTACGACTGAGTAGTGAGTTCGATCCTCACTGGGTGCCCCATGCTTTCGGCCTTGTGCCACATCTAAGCTACGCTTGGCATATCACTATAGGCACCTCGAGGCGGTGTAATGTTTAGCAACTTTGTCTCGCTAGAACAATTACCACTGAATAGTGAGTTCGATTCTCACTGGGTGCCCCCTACATTCGGCCTTGTGCCACATGTAAGTTACGCTTGGAAAATCACTACGTAGTGTAGGGTTAAAAGCTGAAACTGAAGGTTTTATTCTTGCTTCACAGGACCAATGCTTAGTAAATATAAATTACCAAGGACATATGCTTAAAAACTCTTTTGACTCCAAATGCTGATTCTGTGATAAAAAATCCAGCAACAGTTGATCAACTTGTATCATGTTGCACGGTTTTAGCGCCTACGTAATGTAAAACTCGACTTGATAGGTGTGAGCCAATATCTGCACTGGAAAATATGCAAGTTTGACGGGAAACAAACGGAAAGAATATAGTATCAACCTCACCCGGAACTGGTTTCAGGGAATTTCGCTTGGGTGAAGAAATTCAAATAAAGCAGAATAAACTCAAAGCAGCGGCAAAGAACATAAAAAAGAAAAAAGTAAATGCTTGTCATTCTATACTTGACAACTTATTCGGACAATTTTGTCTACAACACGCGAGACTTTTTTTCCCCTCTTCCCAACTTATAACTCTCTTCATCTATGTTTACGATCTTTTCCCCACGACACACACCAGTAATAATAAAACCTGCACAACGTTTTTACAGCGTTCAAAATTTTAAATTTAAGTTTATTTTCATAATTTAAACTTCGCTACTTACCACATCAGGTCGAGAGTGACGCCACATCTGTTGAGAAAAATCATCAATCGTTTGCTTCCTTGTTTTTATGGAAGACCAAAAGTGATGGTTAGCCGGGTGTTATCTGTCTATATTTCTGAGATGAGGTATTATGTACACTATTTACATTATTCGGACTATTGTCCTCATCTTTGTCGCCATATTTATTACAACGTTTCGGCCTTTCAGTATCTGTCTATATTTATGAGATGAGGTATTATGTACACTATTTACATTATTCGGACTATTGTCCTCATCTTTATTATTGGATTTATTACAACGTTTCGGTCTTTCAGTATATGTCTATATTTTTTGAGGTATTATGTTCACTATTTATATTATTCGGACTATTGTCCTCATCTTTGTCGCCATATTTATTACAACGTTTCGGCCTTTCAGTATCTGTCTATATTTATGAGATGAGGTATTATGTTTACAAATTTTACATTATTCGGACTATTGTCTTCATCTTTGTCGCCATATGTATCAAAACGTTTCGGAAATTTCAGTATCTGTCTATATTTCTGAGATGAAGTATTATGTACACTATTTATATTATTCGGACTATTGTCCTCATCTTTGTCGCCATATTTATTAGAAACGTTTCGGCCTTTCAGTATCTGTCTATATTTTTGAGATGAGGTATTATGTACACTATTTATATTATTCGAACTATTGTCCTCATCTTTGTCGCCATATTTATTACAACATTTCGGCCGTTGTAACGCCCGGCCTTCTTCGATTGGTTTGGAATGTCGAACTGAACCCTTTATTTCGCTCACTGGGGTTTGACTGTTTTCTCCACGTGCCATGTTCAATGGATGTCAGCTGTCAGTTATCTCCTGTTAATTCCCCTATCCACGTTCTCCACTGCCTTCACCAGGTATTGAACTCACACTGGGTCCTGTCACTGGATCTAACCAACGCCTTTACCCACTGTGACATGTGTCCTTGAGGATAATAACATTCTAATCACCTGAAAAAGAATAGAAAAAGAAAAGCCACAGTGAATTTTAGCATGACATGATGGTTAGCTGGGTGTTGCTCGTGATTGCAATATAAAAAAGCTGTGATGTCGCAACGGGTGACTTTTTAAAATGATTGACGGAACTCTTCCAAGATTTATCAACACTTGGAGAAGAGCGCAATTTAAGAAAAGATAAAGAAAACCACAGTGTTTGCCAATGTTCAAAAATATTTCGACATAATGCACCTAATGTATCGGCCAAGAACTTAAAAAAGAAAGCAAAAGCCAATCCAATGCAGCAAATGAAGAAAAGATAGCAAAATAACACTTTTCATGGTCAAACAAGTTAATGTAGACAAACCTCGCACTCCTCAGCGGTTATGTCTAGACGGTTAAAAGCTGATTTAAAAGATTTTAATCTTGTTGTATAAAAACTAATTATTCCTAACTAGAAATTAGCAAACACATAATACACCTACTGTATCGGCAAAGAACAGAAAAAAGAAAGCAAAAGTAAATAGAGTTCTCCAAAGGGAAGTAATCATAAAACAAGGGAGATAACTCCCGATTAGTTTGTAACTTTATCATATGAATTTTAGCATGAAGGTGGTAAAAGATGACAAAAGATAGCAAATTACCGTTGGATAGTGTTGGTGTTGTTTTTTTTTTCATATATCAATGAGACAAACGAAAGATCGCTTCTTACCACATCAAGCCGAGAGTGACGCCATATCTGCTGAGAAAATCATCAATCGTTTGCGTCCTTGTTTTTATGGAAGACCAAAAATGATGGTTAACCGCGGGTGTTGCTCGTGATTGCAAAATAAAAAGCCGAGATGTCGCAATGGGTATTTTTTGACAAGGATTGACTGAACTCTCCCAATATATATATTATCAACACTTAGAGAAGAGCGAGATATAAAAAAAGAAATAGAAAAGCCACAATGTTTGACAACTTTCAAAAATATTTCGATATATTACACCTACTGTATCGTCCAAGAACCTAAAAAAGAACGCACAAGCAAATACAATATAGCAAATGAAGAAAAGATAGCAAGATAAACCTTTTTATGGTCAAACAAGTTGATGTAGACAAAGCCCGTACACATCAGCGGTTACGAAGAGCAGTATTAAAAGCTGAAATCGAAGGTTTTATTCTTGCTGCACAGGACCAATGCTAGCTAAATATATATTACCAAGGGTACAAACTGAAAAACTGAGTTGACTCCAAATGCAGATTCTGTGATGAATATTCACAAACAACTGATAACTTGTAACAGGTTGCACAATGTTAGCGCCAATTGAATATAAAACTTGGCATGACAGAGTGGGCCAATATCTGCACTGGAATATATACAAGTTTTACAGGAAGGACCACATCTAATCTACACTTGGCAAATCACTATGGGCTACCCGAGGCGGTGCAATAGCAAGCTTGTCTAGCTAGAACAATTACAACTGATTAGTGATTTCGATCCTCACTGCGTGCCATCTACTTTCGGCCTTGTGCCACATCTAAGTTATCTAAGCTTGGAAAATCACTTCGTAGTGCAGGGCTAAAAACTGAAACCGAAGGTTTTATTCTTGCTGCACAGGACCAAATATAAATTAGCAAGCACACATACTGAAAAACTGTGTTGACCCCTAATGCAGATTGTTTGATAAATATTCATAAGCAATTGACCATCTTTTATCAGGTTGCACAATGTTAGCGCTAATTGAATATAAAACTCTAGTAGAGTGGGCCAGTATCTGCACTGGAATATCTGCCACATTTACGAGAAGAAAACTGCAAGAAACTGGTATGAACATCAACGGTTATAGAGATAGGATCTGTAACATTTTTATGAAACTTTACACACCCAAAGAGCTGTTAACCATGTTCACCATAGTCTACGAATATAGAATACAGGAACGACCAGAAGCCGGTTACCGATGCAGACGCTCCTTGGATTTTCACCAGAGCCCTTGTTAGCCGGCGTGTCAGTACTTAGTCAGATCTGTCCGCCTTTTAACTGGCCCTACCAGGAAAACCTCATAGTCCCGGGCGGCATAGTGCTGACACTACTGTTTACCCCCCC